GCCAACAAATGGCATCATGGCCCTGAAGAGGCCATTTCATCCTCTCTGTACCTAAGTTTCTTTTTAAAAAAATTTTATTTTTCTTTTATATGTATGAGTGTTTTGCCTGCATGCGTGTAAGTGCACCCATGTCACGCAATGCCCATGGAGGCCAGAAGAGGGTGTCAGATCCCCTGGAACTGGAGTTACAGATGGTTGTTAGCTGCCATGTGGGTGCTGGGAACTGAACCTGGGTCCTCTGCAGGAGCAGTCAGTGCTCTTAACTGATGAGCCATTTCTTCAGCCCCTGCCTCAGTTTTTAAATCTGTACCTCACAGCATTTTCAGAGGGTTTATATAGAAATGGCGCCACTGGTAGCGTGTCATCTGGCCACGATGGTGGAACAGAGAGAATCAGGAGCCCCATCTTTTAGCATCCAGTTTACTGTGGCTTTGAGTCTGGTTTTTTTTTGTTTTTTTTTTTTCTTCTTTGGTCTTTTTGAGACAGGGTCTCCCTGCAGCCCCGGCTGTCCTGGAACTTGCTATGTAGACCAGGCTGGCCTTGAACTTACACAGAGATCTGCCTGCCTCTGCCTCCCAAGTGCTGGGATTAAAGGCATGTGCCACCATGTCCGGCTTTTTAAAATATTTTATTTATTATTTTTATCTTATGTTTATGAGTATTATGCCTGCGTGTATGTAAGTGCACCCATGTCATGCAATGCCTGAGGAGTCCAGAAGAGGGCATCAGATTCCCTGGAACTGGAGTTATGGATGATTGTTAGCTGCCATATGGGTGCTAGGAATCGAACCCAGGTCCTTGTAAGAGTAGCCAGTGCTCTTAACCACAGAGCCATCTCTCCTATTTTTTATTTTTTTACACGTCTGAGTGTTATGCCTGCATGTGTGTAAGTGCGCCCATGTTGTGCAGTGCCTGAGGAGTTCAGAAGAGGGCATCAGATCCCCGAAACTGGAGTTATGGACAGTTGTTAGCATCCATGTGGGTGCTGGGATTCAAACCTGGGTTCTCTACAAAAGCAACCAGTGCTCTTAACTGCTGAGCCATCTCTCAAGCCCAAGGCCATTTCTTTTTCATAAGACTTATTTTATGTTTATTTTTGTTTATGTGTATACCTATGTATGTGCCGATACCTGTACATGCCAGAAGAGGGTATTGGATCCCCTGGAGCTGGAGTTACAGATGGCTGTGATTTGCCTTACCTGGGTGCTTCAAACTGCACTTGGGTCCTCTGCAAGAGCAGCAAGCTCTCTTAACCACTGAGCCATCTCTCCAGCACTGAGGCCCTATCTTAGTTCCTCTTATTCTTAGCTATCATCTTTGTTAAATGAAGGACTAAACTGCTTTCAAAAAATAAAATTAGGGCCGGTGAAATGGCTCAGTAGGCCAAGATGCTTACCATCAAGCCCAAGGACTTGAGATTTTGGTCCTTGAATCCACATGGAGGAAGCTGAGAACCAACTCTTGCAAGCTATTCTCTAACCTCCACACTTGTGCTGTGGCACATGTGCCCACACACATAAAGTAAGTAAATAAATAAATGTAATTTTAAATTTTAAAAATAAATAAATAAAA